GCAGGTATAAAGGCTGGGCATTTCAATCCAACATGGAACAACTCTGACAAATGATCCTTGCTCCAGAGCTCTTCTTGGTCAGGCCCTGCCTTAAAGCTCTTCTGCTTTTGCAGAGTTCTGATTCCAGCCCCCTCCTCTCACAGTTGTTATAACCAAGTTGTACCCCAAACTCCATTTCCGCAAATGTTTCCAAGAAACCCTACAAGAGACATCCAGAGAGACGATACTTCTCCCTCTGGACTCTGCTACAGTAGATTTTACAGCTAGAAGTACTGCAGCCTGAACACAAAGCCAGCACCAAGGATAAATCAAAGGCAGGCCAAAGTCCCTGAGGAGCAATACCAACCAACCACAGAAACCACTCCAGTTTTACGGGTAATTGAATTTCCCGCTGGTTACTGTTTGAGAGAGACACAGAGAGACAGAGAGAGCGCATGTACCCACACTTCCTTAATTCTTTGTTTTAGGCTCTCCTACCTCAAGCTGTGTTTCCAGCACAAAGCTAGACCCATGCTTCAGACTCATATTTCCTATGTCATAAATTTCAGTCACTAGTCCCCTTCTTTCAACTCTTGCTTTTTTTCACCATTTTGTCATCATCTGCCCTATCTTTCAAAACTTATCGACTCTTCCTTTGCCTCACCCATTCATTCAGTCTACAAAACCACTCATTTTCCCCCTTCTTCTATCCCCACTGACAAAGCCAATGCCCTAGTTAAAATTCTCCTCATCTAAGCTTGGTCTCCTGCAACAACTCAGCCCAGCTTTCTGATCTGGCCAGTTCTCTACAGAGCCACCTGTCATCTTCCTCAAAGGCTAATCTGATCATGTCAAGACCTGCTTGCCTTAGCACTGCAAGAAAGGTCCATCACAATCCAACGCCAACTTACTTCTCCTGATCTATCTCTAGCCACTGCTCCCCAGACTAAGCAGCCCGTACTGCAGCAGTATCAAATGTCACTCTCTTCCCTCAACTCACCTGCCTGTAAGTCCCCATGCATTAGCACATTCTGACTTCTCTGTCTAGACTTCCTTTCACCCTTCCCTCGTTTCCTCACCTACGAAACTCCTAACCACCCTTTCAGATCTCAGTTCAAATGTCCTCTGGAACTCTGGGAACTGTGCCTAATGTTTTTTGTACTGAGCTGAGTGTTGCCTTCTGTGTTGACTTATCATGTGGTCTGGTTATCACTGACAGAGGAATATCTCTCTACTCACGGGACTGCCACGATTTTCTCAAGGACGTATCGCATTTACTTCTTTTTCTCTACTGCCTAAAACACCATAGATGTTCACGTAATATTTGCTGCCTAAAGAAGTTCCAGCAAAGTTTCACAGCAACAAAATATTTTAAGCTCTTTACCACAAAAAAGTCCAGAATAAATTCCTATAATGTATCCATGACAGTCTGGAGAGAAGAGCATTTCAGATGCTAAAGAACTGGAGGTGGAGCCTTTGTTGAAAACATCTGAACTCTTCTCTGTCACCTCAGATGAAAAGGTGCCTTGTGAATGCCTAGTTTGATTCAAGAACCAGGAGAGTCCAATAATTTATGTAAAGCTTTCCCTTAAGCAGCCATATAATGATCATTTGTATTATGTTTTTCTAAATAGCAATGAAAACTCAGAGCATAAAAGGGAAGTACAACAACAAAAACTAGGAGTTCCAGAACCAGCAAAACTCAACCCTGCAAAGAAACCAGGAGCAAAAAATATGGCTCTGACACAAACTATATTTAGCTCTGTGTGTTCTGTGTGCTCCCTCATTTCTTCTAGGTTTCTAGACATATCCTTAGCAAATAACTTGAGATATTAAGTTAATCTTATGGGGGAATATCTCTTCCCATCAACTACAGTCCACCTGAAATGATAAAAGAGCACCATTCTCTCAGGCTTAAATGTTAGTGTAACCTTTGTTAGCTTCTTTCTCAATTTTATTTCCTTCATCAAATGTATGACCAATTTATTACAACTGCCATCAAAGAATTCCTTACATTCATCCCTTCACCGTCATTCCCACTGCTACACTCTACCCCAAGTCCAAACAATTCATAGTAGCCTTTCTGCCAAAGACTATGGCTACTGTCACAGCTTCCATGAACTGCCCACAAAGCCTACTAAGCATTCCACAGCCAGAACCACATTCCTAGAGGACTGATGTCACCAGGTTAGTACCCTTGTCAAGTGTTTACAATGACTCTGCACGCATTATGGAATAAAGTCTAAACTCCTGATCTTGATATTTTGACTACTAAGAATGTCAATCCTCCCTCTCACCCTGATAAGCCAGTTCCCATCACTGTCCCCCAAACACTCCATGCCCATTCTAATCTCAACTGTGCTTTCACTCATGCCGTATTCCCCATCTCTTCCTGGAAAGCAAATCCAGCCACCCACACACATGCTCCCCTACCTAGTATATGCTTTTGATTTTTCTTATGTATCCAATAAACCAGTCTCTCCCAGGGCCCTGAATATTAGACCAAAAAAAAAAAGCACAAAATAGGATTACATTCAAACAAAGACCAACCCTACTGGCAATCAACTCCTTATAACTACACTCCTTTCAAAGAGTCCATATAAATATACAGTAATGAA